TCTAGGCTGATCCCTCACCTTTCTCAGGCTTATTGATACTCCACGAGGTGAGATCTTGTATGGAGCCCCATTCCGAGGGAGATTGACAGTCATCTTGAATTTCTTCCATTTTCTAATAATTGCGCCAACAGTTGTTGCCTTCTCACCAAGCTGTTTGCCTATTGTCCTGTAGCCCATCCCAGCCTTGTGCAGGTCTACAATTTTGTCCCTAGTGTCCTTAGACAGCTCTTTGGTCTTGCCCATAGTGGAGAAGTTGGAGTCTGATAGACTGAGTGTGTGGACAGGTGTCTTTTATACAGGTAATGAGTTCAAACAGGTGCAATTAATACAGGCAATGAGTGGAGGATAGGAGGGCTTCTTAAAGACAAACTAACAGGTCTGTGAGAGCCAGAATTCTTGTTGGTTGGTAGGTGATCAAATACTTATTTCATGCAATAAAATGGAAATAAATTATTTAAAAATCTAACAATGTGACTTTTCGTAATTTTTTTGTAGATTCTGTCTCTCACAGTTGAGGTGTACCTACGATGAAAATTACAGAACTGTCCATTCCTTGTAAGTGGGAAAACTTGGAAAATCAGCGGTGTATCAAATACTTATTTGCCCCACTGTATGTGTCTTGGCAGGTGTTTTACCTGTTCTGAACACTAAAAGTTTGTAGGCCTGGAGAGTAGTATCAGCTTTGTGCCATTTGTAATAAACCCTTTAAATGTATTTTTGGCCCTTGTGTACACAAATACACAAATCCCCACATCTTACTGATGGCTAACAGGAGGGCATCACCCACTCTGGCCAAATCTGCCCTTCCCAGCAGCAGCTCCGTCACCTCCAGATGCTCGTTGGCTACAGCCAGCTGCAGTGCATTTTGGCCCATGTAATCCACAGCATTGACATTCAAGTTGGGCACATGGAGCAGCATGCGCCGCACTTCTGGTATGTTGCCGTATTCAGCTGCCTCCAGGAAGCGTTGCTCAATCTCTGACAGGCTGAATGACGGAGCAGAGAACATATAGGCAGGACCACGAAGAGCCTGGCGTCGTTTAACAGTGAGACGAGCCATGAGCTGTCTCTGGCTGCCAGAGAGTTGAGGACATAGTTCAGTATATAGTGTAGTATACAGAGAGGCTACAGTAGCAGGTTGTACACACAGTAACTTTATTAGGTATACTTTCAAGCAATTTTAGAGGTGTTGAGCCATGATCATATTGGAAGATATTTGCAGCCTTGGTGAAATAAACGGGTGGACAAAATAATAGAAACATTTGTCAGACAGCAAATTTGAAATATTAAATATGCTAGTGTAAAGTACAGTGCCAACATTTAAATTAATTAAAATAATATGTTTTTCCTATATATAATCATCTGATATGAGCTCATACAGTGAACCACAGTCAACATGGTGTATAAGATCATCCTTGAAGAAGCTGAGGGATGTTGATAGAATTCTGTGTAACATCACAAACATTAAAAATGTAATTTTGACTTTGGTCACCTTGTTTCTCACAGACTTAGTAGCTGTGGACCATGTATGGTGAAAGCTCAAAGTGACTGTACATTGTCACTGTCAAAATAGTTACAGAGATGGTAAGGTTACTGTGGCTTTAACTAGAACTTCTGTGTTTAGTTTATTTTAACTGTCTTTATCAGTATACTGTAGCATCATCCAGTATTTTCACCACTGATTTTTTTTTATTATTACTGCATATAATTGTTCTTAAATGTTTAGTTAAATATACATTTATGAAGGAAATAGCCAAAAAGATCAATTTTTATATAAATAGAAACTATATATTTGACTTCTGAGATAATTAAACATGCCGGTTTAAATAAATAGAGTATAAATACAAAAGTTTTATCTTCTGTTATGTTAACAAACCTGCAAAAGATTAACAAACACATCTGCCCACTGTATACAGAAAGCAGAGCAGGAGATGTAATGACAGACTAACCTGAGGCATTGCTCAGGGCAACAGTTGTCCTCTCCAAAGTCATCATATATCAGTAGGTTATCGCGGCTCCTGGCCCTGGGACCATTGGTGTAATCTGCATGTCGCCTGTTATGATGAACCGCTGGTGGTCTTTGGTTCATCCTTGAGGTGATCAACAACAGAAGACCTGCTCCCGCTTCATATGAGCAAGTAATGAATGACTGCCTGTGTCTCTGTCTTCCTCTCTCTGTCTCCCACCCCTTCTGCTTTTTTCTGTGTCCTTGAGAAAGAATGCGTCCTTCTGGGTCCCACTATACTTTTGTTTACATGACTAGTTGAACTTTGAATATGTGGAGGACAGCTCAGTGTTATGACTGAACACACTAAGGGTTACTCGCGGTATATGGCCATTTTATTCTCAGTTGTTTCAGCTGAATCTACAGATTCATCCTGGTGTTCTCTGGTATGTCTCTCTGCATTAGTTTTGAGAACAGGCAAAAATATAGCGTTAATAGTATTAATGCTCAGGCTGTAAAATGCTATTTTAAACTGCAGTGTTTAGAGTACAGTTTTGTCAGTGTGTGTGAGTCTGTGTGTGTACATGTGTGCAGGAGTGACTGATGGCTGATGATCAGCGGATGAGATTCCACAGGGTTTAAATTCCCAGTAGACTTTGCTTCCTGTGTGCTCTGATCGTCGTCCAGTGTGGGAAAACAACTTCCCCCTCAAAATACACACAGACATACACACCATTTATTCATTATAGTGT